ACCGTTATGTCCCCTCGAATGTTCAAGCGCTACCAAGTGTATTTGTCCATAATTTTCACAAGTGTCGCCACTTCGGGAAACGACCATTATTTCAGAACCCACTTCTCACTTCAGCCACTTCAGATTATGACAGCACCTCGGTATGGCCACATCCAATTCCCAGCATATTACCAGCTCGGAGTTTCTAACCATTTTTTATGGTGTTAGCGACCATCACTAACGTATGCGCGCTAACACCAGGGGCCTCTCTGTTATCATCCGACCTGGTAATCCGTATTTATCATATGATACCACGTGTCAAGCGAAGTCATTACTGGCGCAAGCCAAACTCTTCTCACCCCGGTTCATAGTTTTGACCGAACTCCGGCTTAACCCAAAGTAAGACCGACCTACCCGACGGAGACCGAAGTCACCACAAACCGAGGTCGCAACGCCCAAAGCAGGTGACGAGACACACACAGGACATGTCCTTACACCACAAGTTGTGTCATCATTCGAGTGGGTCCCACAGACAGAACCACCCATCGAAAAGCTACTTTACATAAAGCAGCCGTACACCTCGATCCACGGGTCCAAAAAGATACTATAAATAGAAGATTCTTATTCTTGTACAAGGATCGCTCTCTGAACATTGGCATATATACAAAAAAGCCCAACACATTTCTCCTCGGTTCACCTCGGACTGGGGCCATTGTTCTAGTTTTGATGCATGCTTTATGTTCATATCACTAAAAACACCCTGCTAATCTCATATAAAAATCGTTGTTAATAATCATACAACAGCACTTGCCTTCCCCGGCAACGGCGCCATTTTATTTTGTAGAATTTTGGGCAAGGGATAACCGAGTTACCCGACTTGGGTCGATCTCGAAGGAAGGCAGTTCGGAGCTTCACCTACTACTTGATTGTCCAAATCACAAAAAGAGAAAATAAAGTCCTAAACATTCTAAACAATTGATTGAAGGTTGTATTATCACTAAACGAGCAACACAAATCACTAGCAAAGAGCGAAAGTAGACCATCGGAGTCTAATGCCATTAACACTACGAGATGATAATCAACAACAAAGAGGAATAAGCGAGCTATGAGCACTAGATCATTAACCCTAGCCGTCTAACCTAAGTGATTAAGCCCTAATTGAGTCTTAACCCTTAAACAAGATCGACAAGCAATTAATCCCTATAACTACTCAAGCAAGTATCCCAAGCAATCAAGTCTCGATTTTCCCTCTATCATCAATCAAACTCAAATTTACCATAATAAACATTATAAGTAAAAACGAGGCAACAAACGAAGTAAAGAGCTTTAAAACTAAATACCCATTCTTCTAATGCGTAGACGATGAAAAACAGAGTCAAAAGCTCGAAACTTGAAAAACGAAAGTCGCTGGAAAACCTCCCGGAAAATAGCATAAGCTCCTAGTCTAGAGAGCAAATATAAACATAAACTAAGTTCCCAAAAAGGAAAAATGAAATAATGAGTGTTGGATGTTCAAAATGCAAAGGAAGAAAAATATTTATACTCCAACTCAAAACACACACTAGAAAAATGCTCACTAAATGAGACACTCTCGAGCTCTCCGCAAATTTCGCGAGCTCGCGGGGGCACGGGGCCGCACGGGCGTAAGGAACACTCTCGATATCGCCGGGTTTCTGCACGCGGGCGTTGGCAAGGAAGCACTCTCGAGGCCGCCAGAGTCGCCGCGAGGTCGCGAGTGTGGCATGGCGTGAAAGGGCGCGGGACTCTCGAGCACGCCATTCCTTCCGCGAGCGCGCGGTTGTGCTGGGCAGGCGGGCTGGCGTGACACGCGACACTCTCGAGCTCGCGCAGGATTCCGCGTGGTCGCGAGCATCTTGGGCAATGGTTCCACGGCACTCTCCAGCTCGCCGTGTCTTCCGTGTGGTCGCGAGTGGTAGGCAGCATGCGCAGGCGCGGGCGG